GGGGGGGATAGACCACAGGCTCAAAGGGGGGCCAGGAAATGCCGGGTAGTAGACAAAAAGACCTGCACTATCATCGTTTTAGAGCAGTACTGTATTTCCCAACTTGGTCTTCAGGGATCCCTAGACAGCAAAAATGTGAACCGACTGGTGGTCCCCCAGAACCAGTTGGAGAAACACATTTACTGGTACAGGGCACAGAGGGACTGCAGGAAAGGACCTTGGAATGCAGGAAGAAGACCAGAAAAGAGGAAGAGGAGCACAGCAGAGGTAGCTCAGCCCCCTGCCCCCCACCCCCAACAAGAATAAAACATCTTAATGGTGCCAAATGCGTGTGGATATTCATTCACTGGAGGCAATTACACTGAGATAGGGACGTGGTTAAGAAAGGGCTGTAAAGGCGTGATTGCGTTCCATCGGGCCAGGCCCCCATGCCGCACTTAGTTAAAACAATCCAATTTGCAAGGGATAATTATATATTAGCTCCCCTTTATCGTTCGGGCCGATGGAGTGCGCGGACTCGATAGGGGCCCAGTACCAGGCCCAGAACAGCTGCAAATTACCCTCTATCGGCACCCGCTTGCTACTGCTGCTGGACGGAGCGATCCATTACAGCCCGCCCACGACGAGCGAGGCATTGGGGATGCTGACACCTGCTGGCGGGAGAAGGCAGTGCGCCTCAGCTTCAGCACATGGTCACATAAAGTTTGCTGCTATCAGGTCCTCTTACACCTGGGATCTTCTTCCCCAGAGACAGCTGCCATTTTACTGTATATTTTGGAACTTGGTGTAGTTTCTATACAACTGACTGCTGGAACCAGCTCCCAGTGAATATCAGAGGTGCCCCAAGAATAACCCGCTTAAGACTAAACTAAAAACTTTTAATACATTTTAATGCGGAGAAGGGGGCAGAGATCACCTAACCCAAGATCCAGCGGCAGGGGGCAGCAGGGAGACATCCCTGCCACTGCTTTGCCACCAGGCGACGTTCCGGGGTTAAAGGGGCAAAACACTGATGATTGGTGGAGCCCGGCTCATGACTCTGCAGCTGACCAATGGGCACCGGAGAAGGTTACGGCAGGCAGTAATGCCAAACCAGTATAATCACATACCTCCATAATCAATTCTGTTCTTCATCCCCAAACCAAAAAAGCCGTCCCAACCCCCAAGGACTGTTACCCCCATAACTGGAACCCCTAGAAGTGTTCTTACACACACTAGGGCTGCCGCGATTAGTCAACATAGTCAATGACATCAATACTGAAAATGCGCTGACATCAATATTTTAATTCCATTGCTTTTTTTAGTTTTTAAATAAAATTACTTTTGGGGTATCTAAAACACTTCAGTTCATTATAATAAATGTTTTTCTTCAATATAACTATGTAATTATGGGAGCAGTTCAAATTATCACAAAACACAAAGGTGATTTGTACACCGTGCAAAGTTCGGTGGCATATCATAGTGGCACGAGCGCTATGCAGGAAAGAAAACACACAGGTGCTATTCTGGATGACGGGCTGCCAAGCCAAAACCACGTAAAGTGTTGTCTAATCATGTCGACTTATTCCACGCTGATTGACAGTGCCAGTGTGTGTTTGTGCGTACTGGGCTTGTTGGGACCAGTGTAGTTATCGCAAAATAAAACTGAAATAAATACAGGCAGTAAATTTTAAAAAAAAGTGAACTGAAAGAAATATGTAAACTATATTTACCATAATAAAGCTACTTTAATCTGCAAAAAGTAAAGCCACCCAATGTCTATTTACCCTGTTTATCCAATATATCTCTTCTTTTAAAAGATGTTGTGGCTGCTAAGCTGTGCATTTCTTCACCACGACTTCAGATCTTATCGCTTCCATGATTTACCAAAAGTCACACGTGACGTGCTCCGCTAACCGAATTTAATAAGCATAAAGATACCCCGAATTTATACAGATTACTAACTTTTGGGCGACACAATACGTATCTCATTAATATTTTAGACACACTACTAATCTGCTTATTGAATTCTGGGAAAAAATAATGTCCGAATAGTTACCTGTATGTACCTATTGTCTGCATTTTATGGGAACTAACTGCTGTTTGGTCTTTCAAATTAGTGTTTTTTCTATTGTTCATTTTTATGGTAATTTTACAACTGCTGGAAAGGCAGAAATGTCAACACAATTTCATTGTACTGAAGAATAATGACAAAAAAAGCTGTCATCTTTTTTTATTCCTGTAAAACACTTTGATTAACCTCTGTGTATGTAAAAGTGATATATAAATAAATATGCCTTGCCTCTGTATGGACGGCCTCACACACACCATGTGTCCATGCAACACACAGACATGAGACTGCACTACAGAGAATACAACTGCGACAGAAGAACAGAATCTGATAGGACGAGATCTTGAGCTAAATGAACAACCCCAACACTTCTGCACAGGCATGAGACACCGGCATATTGGTAAACATTCTCAGCCTCCGCCGTGTCGGTCCCCCAAATCCACCTACCTGCCCTAGAGAGGCCTGGCGAGGCCGTCGGTGAGAGACGGCACAGTCTGTGCCTCCCGATAGCGACCAGGCCCCGCCTCCCAGCTGGCTGACTCCGCCTCCTCACTGAGAAATAGCCGCCCACCACAGCCGGAACTGTGCTCACGCTGCTGGAGAGAGAAGGTGTGAGAGGAGGTGCCACATACAGGGAGGGCGGGTGTAAACAAATAGGCCAGTCCAAGATAAAGAGTTCGGAAATGTTAAAATAAATTAAACCTTTGATAGGTGGTTGTCTGAAAGTCGCCTCCATGCTCACCTGCCATAGGGCTTCCCCCGGATGATCTTCGTGCGGCTCCTTAGTCTGAAACTGCCGGTTGAGGGGGACGTCCCACGCGGTGTCCTGTCTGAGCTCCAGCGGTACGCGGAGCTGCCACCCTTAGCCATTGCGCCCTTAGCTACAGTGCCCGCCGCCTTCCAGCAGTACATTGAGCCGCCACCCTTAGCCATCGTGCCCTTAGGCACCACGCCGGCCGCCTTCCAGCAGTAGCGGCTGCTATGGGCCGCGGCGGCAGCAGCAGCACTCGCCCCAGACAGAGAGCCTCTCCTGGGCTTGGCCGCCTGAGATGGGCTGGGTTTAGGCTTCTTCACGGGCGCGTCTGGCCCCCGAGGGGACAGCAAGCGCTTGGCTGGCCTCGCCTGCCGTCCTGCCACTGCCGACACCCATGTGTACTTCCCGGCACTGGTGAGCCGGCACTGTGCTGGCGAGAGGCTTGGCCTTCGGGGGGGCTTCCTGTCGATGCCTGGCGCTCTGCCCCCGGCAGCTTCCGAAACGGAGGGGGCGGCGGCCGGCGCCTCGCTCCCCTTCACCCAGGTGAATTTGGACCTCTTTAGTGGGGCTGGGTTGCCAGCACTTGTTTTTGCTCCGGAGGGCACCTTGTGCTGAAGCTGACCAGAGGGAGCTTGAGGAGGAGGAGTAGGAGCAACAGGAGCTGCAGAGCCCATTGGGGGCTTAGCCAAGGAGCCTGAAGTCCCCAGGAGGAAAGGCACACTGAAGCTCGGTCCACTTTGGGCTTCCTGCTTCTGGACACTGGATGTCACCTTGCCTGCAGACCTGAGGCCTTGCTGAGTCCTAATTAAAGGGGTAACTTCAGCTGTGGGACCAGCAGCCCTCGATAGGCTGGGCTTGCTCACTGCAGACAGGCTTGGCTGTCCAGTCGCTTCTGGGAGACCAGCAGTACATACAGGGGACCTTCCCTTTATTCCCTTACTGCTTGGCTCCTTGGTTATAGTTGCAGAATGATCGGTACTTGTGATAGGGGCAGGCTGAGAGCTACCAGACATGGTTGGTGGCTGCGCCGTCACTAGGGGGCCCTCTTGTCCAAGGCTTGAGCCAGAAGAAGAGGGATTTGTTGGGTCGCTTGATGCAGTGACACTCCGGTTGCTGAGGGAGTACTTCTTCCTCCAGTGTCCCACAGGCCGGGGTGCATACAGCTCCGGCCGAGTGGGATAAGAGTGGGGAAACTGAGCACCATGACCTCTGCCTCTAGAGGGCGCAGGATTCTGCCACTGACCCGCAACTGATGGGGCGTTGCCATGGATACTCTTGTGGTTATTGATGAGACCTGAGTTGGACAAGACAAAATAACAAAAACCGAAATTTAATCCATAGGATTCCAGTGATATTTGTTCTTTGGACATTCGAATTTTCCCTCACAAATGCAGGGAATGTCTTAAATGCAAAAGATTTACAGTAAAATTTGCTGTTTACATCGATTAATCAATAAATGCACTTTAAAACTTTCCAATAAAGCAATGTATGAAAATTAATCATACCAGCTAAATTATTTATCAGGAATCTACAAAATGCAGGCTGAAAAGTAAAAATCATTTTGGATGTCTATCGTAGTGACCTTTTTTTAATTTCACAGCCTAGCAATTGTGGATATAACTAGATAACACGCAAAACAATTCACTTGCTGACTGTTGGAAGTCTATTTAAACAGTATCACGACTCGTTTTCTTTAATCAGAGAAAATAGGTGAAGACAGCACGAAACACTCACAGATAACTATGTTAAGTTCATACATGCTACAGCATATATATGTAATAGGCTGTACAGCATTCTGAAACTTACAAATACTAATCATTAACAAAATAACATATACAGTTTACTAACTGCCTCGTAGGTTAACATTACTGACATTTGTTTATGTTGTTAGCATTCACTCAGTCGGTGGTGGTTTGCTAGAGAGCTAGCTTCCTAGCTAACTATAACTTAATAGCATATTTTGCCACCAGTTACATAAATGTTGTTTAACATTCACAACACATCCACTGTTTATTACTACACAGACTTGAAGGCAGTCAGATGCGTGAAGAAAACGATCCAGTAACTTACTTTGTAACAGTTCGATCTGTCTCTTCAAAGATTCTTTCTCCTCCATTTCTATAAATGCCAAACTACGCGTCGCCAAGTTCACCCAATCAGAGGAAGGAATCGTCGAGCCGTTATCCAATCAGGCAGTTCGAGCTTCTGCGGCATGCCTTATGGGAAAATGACTTTTGTTTCGATGACTTATGGGAAATTGAGTTTAATTTTTCTTCAGCGGTCCAGAAAGATTTTTGTTCTTAATGTTTTGTCAGTTCGTTTTACATTGCCAAACTCTCACTAAGAATCGTTTTCATATACGACAATGTAAAGTGCATTACTTTTTTGTAAAAGCACGATTATGTTTGTAGACATGTCATTTCTGGAATTTATATTCTGGCTGCATACATGTATGTGACGTCAGTGACATTAGTTGACAAGCGGGCTGACTGCAGGACGATATTTTGGTGAAAACGAAAGCGACGCAGGGATTATCGTTCTTGTTGGCTTGGAAGCTGGAGGGGACACGTTTACGTGACGGGGACACTGGCGGCGACAGTGTTAAGCAAATCTCATCCGTGCTGATCAGCTGAATTCAACTAGGAAGCACAGTTACAGGAAGAGCTGTGTCTCCGATCGAAAGAAGCAGCACAAAGTGTAAGGCGGCGATACATAATTCATCTAGCTAATGGGGATAAGTGGGCTTGGAGTGGCTGTCCACCACAACTGATTACTGCTGAATTGTTGACCACCAGCTATCGTTTTTTTATAATATTATTTTTGTTACCCAGCAAAGTTGGTGTCAAGCCGATAATAGACCATGTATGTATCCCACAGCAATGGTTTCATTTTCATTTTGCTGATTGTCCAATACTAATTGTCATCCATAAAAAAATAGGCATAATTATTTATTTTAAAGCACAATCCATAGAGTAACTGCCGTATTTTCTCTAGATGTTCTCTTATGTAGTTTTTGTGGTGAACTAAGGAAATCGGGCTAGTTCCTCAAAATGTGCTGACAGCTGAATGTCTCGCGATGTTTCGTGCAGCTGTGTTTCTGCCACTTTTAATTATTGTAAGTGGCATGCGACAGCAGCTCTACTGTTATTCAATAAAATACCACATGGACCACAGGGGGAGTGTGTTTTCGCGAGCGCATCTGGTTCCTTCAGTCGAAACACATAACAATTGGACATCTTATCTGGGGTATTCTTTTCCGTTGTGTCCTGTGCTGCTTGGAAGAGATTCCAGGCTCCCTGAGACCCTGTTCAGGATAAGTGGATGGATGGATAGTAGTTACAGATGGATGTGTTACATTTATTGTTGTTGCTGCTGTTTTTGCCACTAGGATTATTATCATATAGATTATTGTTCTTTTTCTGCTGTTTGTAGCTGGTTACTGCGCCCATACAATGGCAACGGAGAACAGCAAGAAGTATGTATACTTCATAATCTTGAAGACCCCAAACTCCATCTTCTGTGGCCATATATGCTACATTTTGGAAAGAAAGTATGATTCCATTTTGGATTCCCCGGAATACACAAAGAAACTGTCAGTGAGCTGCACATCTTTAGGGATCGACCTAGATGTAGAATTTGAAGCTCTGCAGCTATTAACAGTGAAGGAGGCAGAGCTGCTGCTGGCCCTGAACAATGAAGAAGAACGGCTGATGACCTTTCAGGAAAAAGAGCATCTGGAATTTGCCCTCAGCCTCACCGAAGGCACCACGGTGAGCGTGGAGGTGACTGGAGCATGGTGTGACGGGGTAATCCGCTACATCGGGACGATCACGGATACGAGGGTGCACACAGCCCCCATATCGGGAACCGTGTTTGGGATTGAACTGGAGGTGAGGTCCTGCTGGTGATCACGTGAAATATTTATTCATGTAGAATAAATGAGAAAAAAAACAACAAAAACATATCTCAATCTGCAGTGGATGTTGAAAAACAGCATGGTTACCATTAAATGATACATGTTTTAATCACTAAAGGTTAAAAAAAACTGACTTGGGTAGGGACTTGAGTGACATGACTCACAACTCGCCTCAGACTTCAGTTAGAAATTTTATGACTTGTGACTCAACACCGAAAACAATGGAAAGACATGAAACATGGCTTGAGACTTGACTCAGATTTGCAATGTTTTGACTTGAGTCTTGACTCGAACTTACCAAGGAGTGACTTGTTCCCATCCCTGCTCACGGGTCCAATGATGAAATCAGTCTGCCAGCCGCAGGATTTGAATTCTCAACCTTCTGATCACGGTGCCCTTGCTTGTGGAGCCACACACTGCCCGAATATAGCACTTTGTATCCAAATTTATTAGCTTTTGCTCTCATTGTGCGTCCCATCTGATCCTGAACTACACAAACATCTCAGTTTTTCCAAGGCCAGAAAGGCGAGTGCATGGCAGCCTCATAGCTTACACTGCTATCTGTCACCTACAGGTTTCAGGCCTGGGCACTCCCGGTCAGGTGGACCAGGGCCTGTAGGTCACCTGTGATTGGCTGTTAACTCTCCCGAATGTAAACAAAGAGGCGTGTCTGGGTTGTGTGCTTGCATTGATTAGCCCTTTCTCAGCAGGCTTGTCCTCTTCTCTTCTCAGGGGAAATACAGAGGAAAAGGCATGAACGACGGCACATTCTGCAGCAGAAGGTACTTCACCTGTGCTGCCAACTGCGGTGTCTTCGCCCCTTTCACCCGAATCCGAGTCGCGGTCCAGAAGAAACCGGATTCCCCTCCATCCAAGACGCACGATTCAAGAAGCCAGATGGAGCCTCTCAAAATTGGGGACAGGGTGACATTCTTCACGGACGACGACAACGGACGCCACGGTACTGTCATAGAGCTGGAGATACAGCAGGATGCGAAACACGTGCTCATCCACACGGTGAGTTCTGATTGGTCGATAGGTGCGGTCACCAGTTTATACTTGTGAATGTTACACGTGATCTGCACGTCTGTCCCGCAGGATGGAAGCGAGAAGGAGGAGGATGGACACATTGTCAATCTGCCCATCGCCTGCGTCATCCGGGAAGAGCTGCTCTCTCCAGGTGTGCCCCAGCATGCTGTGCATGGGGGCATGGGTATCCTGGCAGATTCCGGGGGCCCCGCACTTCACAGTGGCCCTGTGAATATTTAAAATATAGGGGGGGGGGGGCAGTCAATTGGCCCAGAATTTCTAGTTATGCCCCTGACCACATCTCTTCCAATCCTATTTTGCCCCATTTTACCATTTATGAAAAGTAACATTCACTTCATTGACAGGGCTGTGTTGCATTCTGGTTTTCTGTAAAGTCTACGTAAGTATGAAGCCAGAAATGTGAATTACTTTTCTAAACAGAAATCTTGCACATCCAAAAATAAAGATTTTTTTTTTTTACCCCAAAATCTGTATTAAGTCAGTATCAGAAGGTGTGAATTACATATCAGCAGTTCCGTCTTTGAATTTGGGTCAGTTTTCAATATTGTCTTAACGCCAGGTACATTTGTAAGGTTTTTAACTCACTTTGAGGTATAAAGAGATGCTGGTGTTCAAATGTGTTTACATGTGTTTGCTCTAAACAGCAGACCTGAAAGTGAAACTGACCCCGGATCAGACATTGGCATCGAGTGTGGATGGAGAGGCTGATGATATCAGCCTGAACTCAATGGTGCAGGTGGAGATGAATGGGAGGAAGGTGTACGGAACGGTGCGGTGGATCGGCAAGCTGCCAGATAAGGAAGGGATCATGGCCGGATTGGAGATGGTGAGTGTGCTCATTCTCGCCCCCTGTTGATCAGATCAGAAATAATGATAACATTTCTTCATATTTTTCAGTTTTTTTTTGTTTTTTAAGAAAGTCTAAGGTCTTTTCCACAAGCGGAAAGCGCAATGTAAAGTGTTTTTGCTAGTTTCATACTGGTGCATTTGTCGTCAGAAGTGAGTGGTGTTTTTTAAATGAGGTGTGGCCGGGCACATTTTTGGCACGTTGTAATTTTAAGGCAGTGAAATGACTTTGGGCTTTTGACCAACAAAAACCATGGCAAAAGTCAGTGGCACATTGTTAAACGGTGTTTTAGCAGCGCAACACAGAAACGTGCACAACGCTTGTTACAGAAAAAGGTACGTGCTGAAAGTGCGCTAATGCTTTTTTGCTATTTTATTTTATTTGATCTTACTTAAACATTCACAATAGCAGTCCACCGTAGCCAGAGGTGGACATTTCAGGTCCAGAAAGTAAAAAATCCAGACCAAGGTTTTGCTCCAACCAACCATTGGTTTACAAAGAGTCACAATCACAGAGCACTCAACTGGTTGGTTGAAGCAAAAGCTTGGTCTGGATTTTTACTTTCTGGACCTGAATTGGCCACCTCTGCCGGTAGCTCATGTGCCGCTGCATTTTAAAGGTGAGGTGATACGCCATTCCTATTGGTTTATTGCATGTTATGCCCAAAACACACCTGATTCAACTCCTTGCACTTCCTTGTGCCAATTCCCACACAGCTCTTGAGCTGAATCATTTGTGCTGGAACAAGGAAAGAACTAAGCTACACAGGGCTCCGGCCCCCCAGGACTGGAGTTCGACACCCTTGCATTAGATTGTCACAATAGAGCCCCAGAAAGATAACCTTGAAAATTCTGCCCATAATATTGCAGCTCACAGGCTGCTTGCCTCACTTCTGCGTCCGTGTCTCCCTGCACAGGAAGAGGACCTTGGCGTCAGTGACGGCACCTTCAAGGGGCAGCGGTTTTTCCGCTGCCCTGCCAAAAGAGGCCTGTTCATCCGGCTGTCCTCCTGCCAGCCCGACACCCGCTTCCTCCCCCCGAAGGTGGATGAGGGGGCACCATCCAGCAAGTTTTCAGGTCACTTGACAGAAAAAAGACACTTGAACTTACCACAAATTACTACTTTTAGACCCACTGTTTCCCAACCCAGTCCTCAGGGACCCAATACAGTCCACATTTTTGCTTCCTCCCAGCTTCCAACACACCTGTACTAGGTATTCGGTGCTCTTGATTGGCTGAGAGCTGGGAGGCAGCAAAAATGTGGACTGTCTCAGTCCCCTGAGGACTGAAATGAGAAACACTCATTTAGATCAAACTCGAATTCATCTTATACACCAATGGGCTAATGTTATGCAGTGATGTGGAAGCTAATGCATCTGAGATTGAATCCACTTGGGTGGAGGTTGGTCCATGTGCTCCAGGTCCTCAAGCTTTCGTTAAGAAAGTAGACACTTGGAGAGGAAGTCACCAGGGTGCCAGGGGTCAGACATTATGTCCCTGGTTCTGTTCTTCATCCTTAATGACTATTCTAGGCTAAATTGGCACATCTTCTACATCCAAATCCAGAGCGACATATTTGGCTCTGGGAGATTTTCAGCATACGCCCAAATTAAAGATGTATGACACGCAGTTATATCTCCCGGCACAATGATTGATGATCTTTAAAATTCTTTTTCACAGGCAAAATTAACTGCCTGGATTTGTTTTGCTCCTCTGTATTATTTTGGGTGTGAATTTGAACAATTCCAGATTACATTGGGGTCCTAGTTTGAGTTTGGTTTTGGCTGTTGCTGCAGCCCGTTTATTCCACAGCTGTTTCCACATTAAACACTTCTTCTTCTTCTTCAGACATAAATGGAGCAGATGATGGGCCTGTGTTTGGCAACGTCGCCCCCCTCAGGACAGACCAGGTGCAGCAGCTGCTGATAGGCAACATGAAGGGGATCCAAGGACACTGCAACTCGTGCTACATGGATGCAGCCCTCTTCAGGTCAGAGAGGCACGAGGCTCCTGCACGCGCCGCAACAGCGGGTCATGCGGGAGGAGGGGTCCGACCGTCACCTTGTCCCTCTTTCTCGTCCCCAGCCTCTTTTCCTGCTCCTCTGTGCTGGACTCCTTACTCTTCAAGTCGGCTGGCTCAGTAGATCAGTCCGTCCAGACCATCCTTCGAGAAGATATTGTCAACCCGTTACGCAGGTAACCCCTCCCCCACTTGGTCATTGGTTAAGAGATCATGACACCCCCACTAGGGAGTTAGTCGCCCTATGCCTCTTCTATGCAGGGGTGCCATAAAGGAAAATTCCAAGGGCCCCTGACAAACATCATTTGATTATTCTGAGTTGGGGGCCATATAAGAAATGCCTTCATGGGGCCCGAAATCCATAGCGGCACCCCTGCCTCTCTGACTCTTTGCTCTGTCCTCTTAAAACCACCCAGTTGGCACCGTTTAACCGAAACAATGTTATACGTCTAAAACGGTCCAGAAGGACATCATGAAAATGATGTCCGCCAATCAAAGGCCCTTTAAGAACATGCAAGAAGAAGATAAGCAAAACATATAAAAGTACTTTTACTGTTTATAAGGGCTGTAATAGTAAACATTGTATACCGTTCCGTACATCATTTCAGTTTGGTGCGCATAATGAAATGAATGAAATCATTTATTGATATGGGTGGAACCTAAATTCACAAGTAGATGTTTCCCAAGAAACACATTATGCTAATTGTGGCTATGAGTTAGATATGACTATGCCAGTCAGTCAAAATCGGCAGTCTGGGAACATTTTGGTTTCCCAATAAATTACACCAGCCCTGGAGAGAGTGGTTACTAAGACCAAGACTGTCTATCAGTTCTGTTATAGCAAATTTGAATATGTTGCTGGAAACACATCCAACTTGCTGACTCATTTGAGACAACATCATCCTGTGTGTGTGTGTGTGTGTGTGTGTGGAGTATGTTTATATTATATTGTGAGGACCAAAAGTTCCCACAATCCACAATGTAATAAAAACCTGTTATTTTGACGTTGTGGGGACCATTTTTCAGGTCCCCACAAAGATCTGTGAATGCACTCAAAAAACTAAAAATGTCACAAGTCTTGTATTTTGTTTGGTTACTTATGACTAAGGTTAGGGCTGGGTAGGGGTTAAGGTCGATATGCTGGTAGTTTTCTCCACAGAAATGAATGGAAATTCCCCACAAAGATATAATTACAAACCTGTGTGTGTGTGCGTGTGCATGCGTGTGTGTGTGCGCGTGTGTGTGAGAGAGAGAGACCAAAGCAAGGCAGATACAGCCTTTGCAGGTTAACTTCCCTGTAGTATTTAAGGTCCTTTTACTAAGAAATTCAGACCTGTCTGAAATAAAATTATGGCTAAGGGTGTTTATTGCTATAGGAGTATTTATCACTGCAGATAAGAGACGGTACTCAGTAATTTTAGTTAATTATACTTGTTATTCATTTATATTTTTGATTTTAAAATTTATTGTACATATTTTTACAATGTGCAAATAAGCATCTGTTAGGTTTTGTTATCCAGACTCATTCACAGACACATTGCCTTTGGTTTACAACTGTTCTTAATTTTGTTGTTTTTATAAAAGTTTTGATAATAGGCTAAATAATGTCAAAAGACATTCTAAATACTGAAATGAAATAAAACCGAGGTTTGTACTGAGGTGTTGTGTACCATTACAGCCCTAGAAGTTATTCGTAATGTGCAAAAATGTGCTCCACAAAGTGTAATGGCATTGTGGGATATTTTTCCGCTGCTGAGTCATTCTGGTGAGCCCTCTTTCAGAATTGAGCTCACGAACTGTCTGTGTGCGCTTGCAGTAAGGGCTTCGTGACGGAGAGGAGCGTCATGAAACTCCGCAAGAAGCTGCAGGCTAGCAGATACATGACCACAGGCCCCACCTTCACCACGGACGAGAAAGGTAGCATAGCGGACGGAGTGCTGGGACAAACTGGACCTGGTCCAAGCGTGGACTGGTCTAGGAGGACTTCCTGAAAGTCCTTCAATCACAGGAAGCGGAGGCCATCTGCCGGTAACCATGACGTTCATTCTCCCACAGATCCGGAGGAGTTCCTTAACCTGATTGGCCATATCCTGCACCTGGAGCCGCTCCTCAAGCTGTGAGACCCCGACACGGCTAACAGTAGCTAGCGCACTTTCATGTTTGCATAGGGTGACCTGTGGGGCTTCGGGTCCTTCATTTAGGCAGCTTGACATTTTCCTGTCTGTAAAACGAAATATAAAATATAAATGGTGTAGAAGCTGACATATCTGGCAATGTTGGGATTGAGGCAATTTCCGGACATTTGAATGTTACTCTTGAAAAACACGGAACTGGAACATCAGTTCTTTTATACACACACATTAGTAATGATTACACTGTGATTTTAAGTTCAATATTCAACACAACACCAGAGATGGTGAGATAAACAGCAGGACAGAAGGATACACAACTAAGGTGTGTGGCTGCATGAGTGGCACTGGGCATGAAGAGTAACTGTCATATATATGGCTCAGTAATTAATTGTTATTTATTTGTTATTTTTGTTAGGTTATTGTAAATTTTAATAGAATTATCTTATTACTTATTGATAACTCAAATCTTTAATTTTTATACTGATATTTTAGAGTCCTCCCAGTTACTTGTACAGTATCTTCATGAGTTTAATTCTCACCGAATAATACTTCACCAAACTGTACAGATCCGTGATGGACTGTCTGTCAAACAGTAGAAGGACAAAAGCACGACTCACTGGACACTTTATGTAATTACTGTGAGGTATTGTTCTGTGAGTCAACAGGTCGACGGGGAAGAAGGTGCAGGAGAGTTTCTGCTATCAGATATTCCTGGATCAGGAGAGTCTGGTGCTGCCCACAGTCCAGCAGCTTCTGGAACATTCTTTTTACAACAACTCCCTCAAGCTAGCTGAGGTAAGTGTGTGAGTCTGTGAAGGGGGACACATTTTAGTGACTTCCTGGGCTTTATAAATGTAATTTATTATATCTGGTGGAGACGTGGAGTTACGGACCACTGATTGCATTAGCATCTGTCAGTGGGAATTCCTCCCTTCTGTGCAGGGAGTCCCTCAGCCTTGTTCCTCTCCCCCCACAACACTGGCCAGGATGAGAGGTTGGAGAATGGATGGATGAATGGATGGATGGATGGAAGTCCCTGCAAATACAGACACATGCAGTGTGTGTTTGTGGTGTGCATGTGTGTGCTCAGTATTGTTCAGATGGACACAAGGAATGGAGTAGGTTCAGTATAGCCACGGAGTAGGTTCAGTATAGCCATCAGTACTTTACCTGTCCTACATGTCATGTACCACGTGACCAAACCTGAACACGCCACATCCTCTTCCCCACAAATGTCTGTCCAGGTGCCTTCCTGCCTCATCCTGCAGATGCCCCGGTTCGGAAAGAAGTTCAAGATGTTTGACAAAATCATCCCCTCCCTTGAGCTGGACATCAGTGACCTCTTGCTGGAGAGTGAGTGTGGTGCCACCGCCCTCTGGTGGATGCTTGGGGTAATGCATGCCATTCCCAGGTACAGTGATACTACTTGTTGCAGATCCTCAGGAGTGCGTGCTGTGCGGAGAGCTGGCCGCAGTGGAGTGTGCTGACTGCTTTAGAGACCCTGTCTTTGGGAGCACGGGCTTCAAACAGTTCTGCAGCACTTGCTCAAAGCAGGTAGGTCAGCCAACAAACCCTCATAATCTGTTAATGAAGGCCCCTTGCCTCAAACAGGCACTGCCTCTTAACTACTTCCTGCCCCATCCACTATGTTGTGATGGATGCAAGAGCTGTGATGTGATTGGCTGATGGCATTCAGCAACAGATACCTTTCGTCCTGTGATTGGTGTTCAACTGGGGTTCCCACCCCTCCAGGTACACCATCACCCCAAACGAAGATCCCATACCCTGTGTACACTCACCCCCCCAGAGGGATTCCAGCAGTCAATCATCATCCCCAGGGAGAAGCTACAGTTGTTTGCAGTGCTGTGCATCGAAACCAGTCACTATGTCTCCTTTGTCCGACATGGCCCCGAGCCCAAAGATTGGATCTTCTTCGACAGCATGGCCGACCGGAAGGGTGAGTGGCATCTATCTGCCCGTCTGTGCCTCTACCTGCCTGTCGGACTCTGCCTGCTCATTGTGAATCTTTGACCATCCTTGACTCTCTTTCTGACCATCTGTGACTCTCTTTCTGACCATATGTGCCTCTCACTGACCATCTTTGACTCTGGCAGTCTATGGCTCTCTCTGATAATCTGTGAATTTGACCGTCTGTGACTCTTTCTGACAGTCTGTGACTGTGACTATCTGTGCCTCTCCCTGACCATCTTTGACTCTCTGACCATCTGTGTCTCTATCAGTCCCTCATCTGATGCTTGCTCAAATCCATCCTGAAGAAATAACCACACGTTGATCATATTGTTGTTGTTGTTGTTTCTGGTAATCAGCATATTTTTGCATCCCCTTCAGCCCACCCCCTTGACTAAGCCGTGTTCTCGTCTCCAAATCCCAGGCGACCAGGATGGATTCAATGTTCCCCGGGTGCAGCCGTGCCCCGAGGTGGCACGCTACCTGACCATGCCGCTGAGCCAGCTGGCCAGTCAGAATCCACGCGAGATGGAGGGTGTGGCCAAGCGCCTCTTCTGCGACGCCTACATGTACCTGTACCAGAGTCCGAGCATGGCGCTGTACCACTGAGGGAACATCACGCAATCCCATTTTGCCCTGGTCACCAGATCGTTTGTGATTGGTCACGGTCTCCGCTTGGTATCTCCATGATACCAGTCACTTCCTGTCTTACTGGCGCCTGCCTGTGTCTTGCTAACGGGTCACCCGGCTCTCCTGGCTGTCCTTCATGCGATATGTTCTGTTCAGAGACCCCAACTGGTGTTGTTACATTATGGTGACCACAGCTTCGGGAGGCCAGCTTGATCTGGAAACTTGGAGCCAGCTGCGATTTAAGATTATTTGCACTGCTGTAATTTACACTGAGACAGAATGAAGAACACTGTACTACAGAACTGCTGTATGGGAATAATACCGGTCCTAGCAAATGTTTTTAAGTGCCTGTCGAATCCTGTTCCCAAGAAGTGCCTTCTGTTAATCACAGGGAACAGAACATACCTGCTATTAATCATTATAAATGGGAAGTACCTGCTATTAATCATTAGGAACAGGAAGTACCTGCTGGACCAAATAAGATTTGCCTTGGTTTGCACATGAGATCACATCTCCTGTCAGTGACTTCGGCTGCCACATGGTGGCGCTCTCTGTGTTCTTAAACTGCTTTGAGACACAAAGTCTAGTTGTGCCAAAATTGTGCAGTATATATATATATATATATATATATATATATTTTAGTTGCACACAAGATCTAGATTTGGGTTTCATCCCAAATTTTTGTGAAGGTGAATTATAACTGACACTGTTCCTTGTTTGGGTTTTTCACAAGATGATGCCCAAAATGTTTTGTAAATGTATGACCTCTGTAAAAACCTGGTTGTGTTGAGGTTCTGCTAGGTGTTTCCCTTTACCTGCTTTGTTCAAAGCCAGTGACTTGTTTGAATAAATAATTCTGCTGAGAAGCCGCTTGAAGCTGGTCTACATAAAGTCACCGGTGGCTCCGGGGGGGCAGGGTTGTGGTTCCCGTCCCTCCCAGTTTAAGTTTGCTTTGTATACTGTATCTGCTAATAAATGCAGGCCAGAGGCCTATGAAGGAATTCTTCTGTGCTGTCTGAAATACAATGCGGATTGACATGAAGTATTCAATCGATTGTTTGCTGCTATGACTCCATCGGCCCACCTGCTGGTCACTTTGAGGCACAGCACGCGTTTTGTGTGTTTGTGTTCAGTATTTGTTTGGATTTGACTGCATGACAACTGCATAAGTGGGTGACCGAGAGAGAGAGCGAGAGATCAGTTGGGTCCACATGGTTTTAGTTAATCTCCTAAGCCCCCCCCCTCTTTCTGGTACCCCCACCCTCACTGATGTCTAACATAGATCTTGCCCCCTCCAAGTCCCCTGCGGTGTCAGCTGGCAGGCAGAGTGGAAAAATAAACCCATCTAGGGCATCTTGAAAGTTGTGGCAATACAAGCCTGCTGGGGGGAGGGGGGCAAAAAGCAGCAGGGTAAATAACGATGAAGGTCTAGGAGAGCCTATTAATCTGAGTATGAGGATTCCTGTAGACAAATGCATAAGTATGAATACTCAGAATGCACTGCCGAGTTATGGCCATTGAAGAAAGCACCGGTGTAATGAACGGGAGGGCATGACTGGCGTAGAGATTATTTATGATGGGGACGCAAGATGGCAAAGCTGGTCAGGTGAAGGACTGGACTTCGGGAAGAGGATAACCTGGGCATTGCAGAAGCAGTCAGATAGCGGACATGGCTTCTTATTTACGCGTTCACGTAGAGATAATCACATGACTCTGTTTACACAGCTGGCTATGTTACTAACGTGACCCTAGCGGCTTGGCGGAGCTGTGCACCATTTTGCGGGCGGGAGGGGGGGGGGGGGGGCAGGGCGCGTCTGTGGGACTGCGGGCTTCCTTAATACATTGCAAGGCTGTCCCCAAGACCACATTGCAGATCTACAACATCAGTGTTTTCAGAGAACTCACTGGTCCGTGACAAAGTCATTTCAAGGCTCTGAGACTCCCCAA